CCCCAAAACCCCAAAACCCCAAAACCCCAAAACCCCTGTAGACATAAACTGTATTGAAACCTTATTTTATTGGTCTGAGCCTTGTACTTGAAGCAATGACGTACTTTGAATTGTTGTAAACGTTAGGATCTACCATGCCTTTTATTTCTAAAGATTTTGTGATACTAGTACCTTCCTCAATCTTGTGCTGCTTCAGGTGGTAAAGTTTTGTTCTATTCCCTTTCCTCTTATTGCCTTTATGAGCCTCAGTGACTGGCCTGTTGTCAAAAGAGTATATGTTGACCAATTTATGAGTTTTAGATGGAAGGGAACCCTCTAAGATTTTCTTTTCTTGGCTCTTACTAGAGCCATTAAGCGTCAAATTTCCTTTGCCAAACCTATTATTGGTAAGATTTACATTGATTGAGGGCATCTCCAAGATACTGTTGTTAGAATATGGAGTCTTCTTCTTGCTATGCAGATTTTCAGGAGTTCTCCTACGATTCATTATTCTTGATTTCAAATGTATCTTCCTCGTCTGAGCAATCTTATTGTTAAATTTAAAGTCAAATGATTTGCTCTTTCTTGAATGTGTAGGCTTTTCCAGCTTCTTTTCACGTAACAAATATGACTTCTCACGTGCATTAATAGCTTGAATAGTTGTCCTAGGTACAAACTTATGTTTCTGGGTTTTAGAATAATTGTCAAAGGCTGTCACTAACATTTCTGAATCAAAAGAGTATTTAGAAGACATGCTCATTGAATAGTCCGTTCCAAAACTAGATTTTTCCAAAACATCTAAAATTTTACAATTTCAGGCTTTACTTTTCAACTTGTTCTTAGAACTTTTAAATTTTGATCAAGTTCTTCCCCTCACTCTTCTCTGTACAGAAATTTAGATATTTTTCAAGCAGAGAAGAATATCTTGAGAAGGGAGTAACTTACAGTCATCGAGGTTTTAACTTTCCTTCCTGATTTCCTCTTGTTATGAAATTTCGAAATTTTTACATCGTTAAAAGTGATATTTATGTCTTGGGTTTTGTTAACTACACTAGCTATAGAAATATTGAGATACACTATATGCCCAAATTGTCAAAAAAATCCTTCGCTTACCTGCTCTTTCAGTAGTCTTCATACTGAAAGCATTAGATTTCCGGGCTGCATTATCAATCCTATTTTGGGTTTTTAAAATTTTCCCCAAAAACATTTTATTTAACAGATGTATCAATAGTTTCTTTGGCGTTCATGAATACATTTGAGAGGCTACCCTCACCTTCTAAAATCCTTTCCTTGTTGACTATAATTCTACCTGTCTCTTGAGGATACATTTCTAATAACTTTCTGCTATTTTCCACATAATTATGGTTGATCTTGGATAAAATTTTAGAAAATTTCTTATAACGAGTCCTCAAAATAAGTGTAGAGATGGGATCCCAGTTAAATTTCTCTACTAAGAAGTCCAGAGTTTTGTTAAGAGCCTTCTTATTCACAAATTTGTTGTTGATTGGGTCTCCAAACTTCATATGAGCCTCTTGTAGCTCTTCTTCACACTTATAAGGCTTATAGTAATAATTAAATTTATTTCTGTTTCTCTGTCAACTTTGGTGCCTGGACTGAGTTCTTCTTCACCAGCTTCTTTTTGCTTTTGTAGTTCTTCTTAGAATTTTCAGAGTAAAGTCCCATACCGCTCTTTCTTCTCCTTCGAGCTTTCTTTTTGTTGTATTCATCAAGCATTGTGGAGATCCTAGTGAAGTCAATTTTATGACTTCCAATTTTGGAAAGAGAAGTGTATCTGTCAAATTCTTGAGGATGATAATTCATCTTCTCTAAACATTAAAAGTAAACTATTACTCTGTGACTGTAGTGAATTTCTTGTACTATGAGCCCCATCTTCTCGAAGGTCGACCCGACTGCGTTGTTTTGAAGCCGAGCCTCCTCCAATTGTTTTATTCAGCATTATGAATTTAATTCAATATTAATAAATTTGAATGGGGTTTTGGGGTTTTGGGGTTTTGGGGTTTTGGGGTTTTGGGGTTTTGGGG